AAATCTCCTTTGCCTCTCCTGACTTTTTCTGCAGTCTGTCTGCTGCTACTCCCTGGCTCCTTCTTACTGCTGTCTTTCAGCCACACCCTTGATCTTATGATAGGGCAGATCTACACCTAGCCTTCTCGGATAAGGGCGAAAAATCTTGGAGGTCTGGTCTGGAAATTGTGCACGTTAAAGATCCGTTGATAGTCCAAAGTCAACGAGAATAGGCTTCCGCCGCCACCCAGGTAAAATTTTAAAATTTCCTGCAAACTGAAAATGTTTAATGTGTCCCCAGCGCCCATATGACCTTATGCAGTTGGGAGTCCCGTAAAACACTTACCGCGAGGGGGAAAAAAACGAATTATACTTTAAATGCAAAGACTCTCGTACACACGGGCTTGCTTTGAAGGGGAATATGCCCCCCCCCCCCCCCCCCCCCCCCCCACAACGCTTAACATTTGTCTTAACATCTGTGCGAACGTTTCTCAATTTGGTAGTACGCTTTGAAATAGGGGCTCGCTATAGTAAGAGATTGCGAGCGCCGTAAAACACTTACCACAAAAAAGTAAGAGATCCAAAATGCTCACCCAGCAGACTCATCAACAAATGATGGTCACACTGGCCCAGTTTGCAGAACAAGAAACCCCAGCCGTGAGAAGAGTGAAGGTAGCAGCAGCCACCAGACCAGTGCAAATTTGTATTTATTATGCCTCAGTGTTTTTTGCAATGCAAAACATGTATAATAAATGATATGTAAATAAAGTAAACCTAAATTTAATTTTAAAATTTGTTCTAGACTCTATATATTACCTGCATCTGCTAGTATGCTGACTCTAACCGTGCTGTTCAGTTTTAACATGTTTAATTTCTGTCTTATGTAACGATTACTGTTTCGTTTAACGGGATTTCTTCCTTGTGGCACTACACTACAAGGTTTAAATGATTTGGCTTTTATTGATGAAACTCTTTTACGTCTCAGCATGATTCACTTTTAGTTTCTTGTTGTTGTTGTTGTTGTTGTTGTTGTTGTTTTTGCTGTTGTTGTTGTTGTTGTTTTTGTTGTTGTTTTAGTCTCCTTTTCTAAAGTTCAATTATATTTACATTTGAGATTCCTATGTGGCATTTGAACATCCTATTAGTTGCATTGTTTACCTTTGAGTTTGCTTTTCTATATGTAGGCTTTTTATTAATTTGTTTGTATGTTTGGATTTTCAGTGTAATTTGGTCTTTTGAAAGGGAATTTGAATTTGTTATGTGCATATCTGAGCTCAGGGGGAAAAAAACTGTATTTCTAGGATAATTATTGTTGGTCAGATATTGGGTTTACTTTTTTTTAAAGTTCAGCGCGACATGTTATTTGGAAAGCTGAGAGCCTAGTGTAGTAATAACAACAAACAAGACAAAAAGGAACGCGTCATCATCATCATCATCATCATCATCATCATCATCATCATCATCATCATCATCCTCATCATCATCATCATAATTTTTAAATCATTATTATTATTATTTTTAGTAGTAGTAGTAGTAGTAGTAGTAGTAGTAGTAGTAGTAGTAGTAGTAGTAGTAGTAGTAGTAGTAGTAGTAGTAGTAGTAGTAGTAGTAGTAGTAGTAGTAGTAGTAGTAGTAGTAGTAGTAGTAGTAGTAGTAGTAGTAGTAGTAGTAGTAGTAGTAGTAGTAGTAGTAGTAGTAGTGGAACAACAATAGTAATTAACTTTAGCTTAAATCTTTATTGTTTTCTTTTTTTATCTTTTCCATTTCAAGGTTTCTTGTTCTTGCGCCGGTTCAATGATGTGCCTACTGTTGAAAATTATCAGTAAGAATGTTCAAGAGCTGTACAATGCTACTCTTAATTCAAAGCTTAGATTTAAACTGATTGGCATGCTTGTGATTCAAGAAAAAAGAAAGACGGGGAGGAAAGGAGAGAGAGAGAGAGAGAGAGAGAGAGAGAGAGAGAGAGAGAGAGAGAGAGACAGACAGACAGACAGACAGACAGACAGACAGACAGACAGACAGACAGACAGACAGACAGACAGACAGACAGACAGACAGAGATAGAGAGAGACGGAGAAAAGGAAAAAGGAATAAAACTCATACTAGAGATGTATTCAACTTGTTATTACTTAATTCTGGGAAGTTTGCTTCAGGCACGTAAGATGTGGGGTGCAGACAAAACCGACCATATGAAGGCGGACACCAGCCTGTACTTACTTTACTTTCTTTTTTAATGTTAGTATTTTACGTCCACATCGACACAATTTAAAACAAGTAAAAGGCGGGATTCGAGCCCGTCACTCAAGACTGGGCGGAGTAACACAGCGTCCTTGCAGAAAACGGGTGTAGGTAGGCCTACTCGATAAACATTCTCCTAAAACGAGTATCGAACTCAGGTCTTCTGCATGTCCTGGCAGAGCGCTAAACGCTTCACTACATAGGTTCCCGCTGCATCTTGCTTATATCACACGAGGGTGGGTGTGTGTAAGTGCTCAGAGCCTGTGTACTTTAATCGGGATTGAGCGCTATCATGATCATACAGTGCCAGATCTGCGACAGACATCAGCGATCATGGTTAATAATAATAATGATGATGATAATAATACTAATAATAACAATAATAATATTCCTTGGCTCATCATCGTCATCATCTGTTCTTCTTCCTGCTCCTAGCCTTTTTGTCATATTGTTCAGTATCTTTTCCCTTCGTCTGCCTCTGCCTCCTTTCCATCAAACTTACCTGTTGTTACAATATTCTCCAATGCTTCTTTCAGCATTGTGGGTCCCAAAAAATGTGCCTGTCGCTTTCGTATATTCGTCATAAGCTGTCTTCTGCAACTTGCTTCAACCAAGACATCTTCATTTGTTTTTCTAGCTGTCCATGGGATACGTAGCATGCGTCTTATGAACCACAACTCTGTCGACTCAATTGTTCTTTCCAGCTGTTTATTGGTTGTCCATGCTTCGCACCCGTATAATAGGATTGGCTCGATATAACTTTTCAGTACTATTTTTCTCGTTTCCAGTGACATATTGATGTTTGTGAGTATCTGTTTCATTTTGGGGAAGGTTGCTTTTGCTTGACAAATGCGGCTTTTAATTTCGGTGTGACATCTCCTATCTGATGATATAATGGTCCCCAAATATTTAAAATGTTATACTTGCTTGAGGGTGGTATTATTTATTTTGATATTGAATGTTGGGGTTGAGTTTTTCTGCTTATCATCATTGTTTCGGTTTTCTTGATGTTTAGGTTTAAACCCATGGTGTCACTCTCTTGTACGATGACATTTAATAGATTCTGTAGGTGTTCTATATCTTCTGCTACTAGGACTGTGTCGCCTGCATATCTTAGATTGTTATTATTATGTCCCCCTATCGAGATACCTGACATATCTTCTATGACAATGTGTCTCGTGATATTTTCACTAGAAAGGGAGAACAAGTCTGGAGAAAGTACACATCCCTGTCTGACTCCTATTTTAATCTATATCTATTCGCTGATATCGTTTTCTATTCTCATTACATCAGTTTGATCCCAGTACATGTTCTTGATAATCTTTAAGTCCTTCCCGTCAATATTGAGGACTTCCTGCTTGTCGATGATCTTGTCGTGCCTAACTTTGTCGAATGCCTTGGTGTAGTCTATAAAACATAAACGAAGATCTTTCTGAACTTCTAGGGCACGTTCTATTGTTGTTCTGATGACATATATGGCATTTACAGTGACTTTGCCTTCAATAAATCAACACTGTTCTTGGGCTATTTCAGGGAGAATTTTATTTCGTATCCTCATCATAATCATTCTGAGTAGTATTTTTGCTATGTGGCTCACGAGGCTGATGGTACGATGAGTTTCACATTTGTTTGCATAAGGTTTTTTGGTAAAGCTATGAACATAGATTTTGACAAGTCTGGTGGAATATGTCCAGTGTCATACATGTTGTTAAGAAGTTTTGTCAGTGTGGTGATCCCAAAGCCCTATCTAAGGCTTTAATCATCTCTGTGGTAATGTTGTGCTGTCCTGCAGCTGTCCCATTCTTCATCTTTCGTAGTGCCTTGATAACTTCTTCCTTCATGATTGATGGGCCCTCGTTGTTATTTTCCACTTTTCTTTGTTTATCTCTTTTGTCATTGTACAGGTCACCGATATATTCTGTCCAACGTTCCAGTATCGTGTCTTTATCCATGATGATATTCATACCCTTTGATCCTTTTGCTCGGATGCTCTTAAAAAAAGCTACGTTCCCCAAGTAGGTTGCTCTGGGCTTATCCGTGCCTCGCTTGCCTTTTGCTTACTTTTGCCAGTGAGAGCTAGAAGTTCAAGACCCTTACGTCTATTCAGGTGTCCCAAAAACTGCATTTGTCGTTTCCTGGTTGTTTTTAACAGAGAGCGTCCCATGTGGACTTCATCAAGCACTTCCTTATTTGATTTCTCTTCCTTCCACGATACTCCTAGCAGTCTCCTAAGAAACCACTTTTCTGTTGCTTCTGTCTTGAGCGCTATCCGCTATATAAATGCTATTCATTTATTATCGTTATGTGTGTGTGTGTGTGTGTGTGTCTGTGTGTCTGTGTGTGCGTGTGTGTGTGTGTGTGTGTGTGTGTGTGTGTGTGTGTGTGTGTGTGTGTGTGTATGTGTGTGTGTGTGTGTTTGGGGGGTTGTTTTGTTTTTTGTTTTGTTTTGTTGTTGTTGTTTTTAGTGTGTTTTTTCGGGGGGAGGGGACGCAATTAGCTCAGTTGATGTCATGTTGCACTTTGATGCAGATGACTGGTGCCCCCTCCCTCCCTCCCCCCCCCCCCCCAAAAAAGTCTGGGTAAGCCCTGACAGGCAGGGTCACAGCAACTCGCCTCCTAAATGACCCAAATTGTGTTGATGGGAGCGTCACCTGAGGTTATAATTGCAATTATGTGGGTGACTGAACGATTTACGTTTGAATCCCCATCATTACCGGCATCGGTTGTGCAGCGGTTAGGCTCTTAAATGTTGCATGCAGGAGACCCGAGTTCGATTCCCGAGTGGGGAAAATTTTAATTGAGCATGTAGGTCCTTCCGCTGAGAAGTTGTATCCCTCTCTTACAATTAATATTTTTATATGCTGGGCTGTATTCATTGGTTAAAAAATGTGGGCCCAATTGTATCTTGGGCTCTTCACTTAAACTTTAGAGGGCTCGACTCTTTTGAGTACAGAAAAATTGTTTGCTGCAATTTATTTTTTCTTCGCAGATCCTGCAAGAATCTGGTTAGGGCGTGTGTATTATAATGAGGCATATCCACTTCAAAAGGTGGGGAATTCGGCCCATGTTCTCATGCTGTCCACAGAAAAAGAGGACACAGCCGAGACAGTTTTGCCCAGATTCTTACGGCTCTTACAACACAATTAGGTCATATGAGTGCCGAAGAGTAGAGGTGTTACTAGATAATAACATACAAAGAAAAGGAGGAGGAGAGATAAGGACGATGTTTGATAGGACACAAGGAACAAACCACACCAGAGCATCTGACAACCACCAACTTGCTGGGCAAGAGTAACTACTTAGTTGCAGTACTGCGTGCAGAAAACAGACCATTTAATGGGTAAACATAAGACAATATGTTATGAATTCAAAGGCACATTATGTTTGCAGCAAAATAAAAATCGAGTATGGAAGGTAAAAATAACAATAATATTATATTCTTATATTAATATTATGGTAAAGTGCGACATATAGTTTGATTATATGCAACAGTCTCCAGAAGTCAAAACGCTACAAAACACAGGACATTGCATAACTTAGCGCAATGGACATTGAAGCTCGGAAATCTTTTTTTAGATAGCAGATTAATACCACAGATACAATGTTATGAATTGCACATAAAATGATCGGAAATAGTTTTTACGAACCAAGTGACTACAAAAATATAGATTGGAAAGCGCATAGAGCTTGCTGTTGAGCAGGAATTTGCGCTATACAAAAGCTATCTATATCTGTTATCTATTATCTACTCTTACGATCGTGGCATTGATAACAATAGTACAGATATCCTCGTGTAAAGCCTTTAGAACGTATGCTAAAGCAACACATAAAATGTCCTGAAAAGTGCTCGCACACTCCAATTCAGCCTTTAAGAGAAGCACGAAGCTCACACCAAAACCCCCATGTACAAAACTCAGAAACTAGCACGTTAACAGAAGACATGGGAAATGAATTCTTTCACCTTATAATGCTCATCATTGATATACACATAACAGTATTATGTTTGTGAGTTCACAAAAAGGCAGTGAGATATACAATAGTATTAAAACCGGTGACAGTACTGATTTATTCTAAGTATGAGAACCGCACCCATAATATTATGTCACACAATCTCTCTTTCTCTCTCTCTCTCTCTCTCTCTCTCTCTCTCTCTCTCTCTCTCTCTCTCTCTCTTTCACACACACATGCACACACGTACTCATACAAACATACACACATACACACACTGACATATATACACACGCACACTCGTACATGTATTCTCTTTAGTGTAAAGGCACACATGCAAAAGAGCACACAAAAAAGTAGTACATAAAACACATGTCATGTACAATACACAGATTACACAATCGATTTCCAAAAAAGGAGGAACTTAGGAGTGAATGAAAGCAGGGTATACGTGTTAATCAAAAAGGCGCCCAATTTACTATAACCGCACGTGTTAATCATAACGCTAAGATTGTTAAAACTCACAGAAACCAGGAAAATAATTATGACTAAAAACGCATGTTTGATTTATAGACTTGAATTAAAATACACTAGACCGGGCTCTGTTATGGCTGCGGCTGTTTGCTCTATATTTTTAGAAAAAAACTTTGCTGAGATTGTTCTCATAATGGACGCTCAAATGAAGGGCAAAACGCCAGTCTCGGTTGGCAAATCTGACTCGAATTTGAAGAGCGCAGAACTTCCCCTTCTTGCCTTCCATTTTATTCGAAACAGAACCAAATCACACCTTCACTCTTTGCCCTTCATTTCATTCGAAACAGACCCAAAGCACATGATCTTCCCTCCTCGGCCTTCATTTCATTCGAAACAGAGTCAAACAGTGCGCTCCATGGCGAACCGGAAATAATATATAATATTATGTCAGAGTGCCTAGTCTAGGATATCATAAAACAACAAGTCTATGGCTTGATTTGACGACAGACCACGTAAAAGTGCTTTGAAATTTGAAGCACAAATAATTATATTGAAACTAAAAAATGCGTGGCTGGGGAAACGGATAATCCTCCAACGCAAATGGGTTTTTCATCAAGCGCAATAATAATAATTATATATTATATAGATCTTTATAAAGGTAGACAAAATGCCAACAGGAGGCACAATCAAAGTAACCTACACGTTGGAGGATAAATGTTGGACACGGACCCAGACAGACACTGACGGAAAACAGTTTACTTAGAAGCAGACATAGGCCTGCAGTGAACGTGCGACTTCACAAAATTATCAGACGCAAGAAATATCCTGAGTAATTTTAAAGATATGCCACATTTTGTGACACAGAGTGCTAAAAAAACGGCTTTAACCTTAATTTGTTGACTAAATTTCAAGCACTGTTGGTGAAATACAATATGTTGTAAAATAATTGATTTAAAAAATACGTAAACTTAAAACATTCTACAAATCCTTTTAATGTGCTATTGTTATACGAGTATATAATATATATAATATATATATATATATATATATATATATATATATATATATATATATATATATATATATATATATATATATCGCATGACAACCGAAATCAATTGCAAACAAGATATAATATGCTTTGTGGTTTCCTGTTGCTTTTATCCGTGTTGCTTCGAAACTAATCGGAAAAGCTGACTCTCACGTTTGTAAAAATGAAATAGGAAACCATTGGCACAATTCTAGATTTATAATAGCATATAGCCATCGAAACGTATACTTACAATTTTTTTTTTAATCAGCTTTTTGTCAAATAAAATTTGTAAAATTACTAAAATGGTGAAAATCCCTCTCCGTCATGTTCTCTTAGGAATACCAAATTAACTGCTACCTTCGTTTCAATCCTAGATTTTGAGGTCTGAAGGGTGTGTGGTTTCTTCTTTTTTTTAAAATGACGCAACGATCAGCGCAATCAGATTTCTGATATATTATATTTTGACAGTAGGCTACCCACCACCAAGCACCAGACATAGAGATAATCAAGGCCAAATCATAGGCTGTGAGATTATGACATCAACTCTCAGCCCAAGCTAAAAGAAAAAAAAAATCATTCCCACAGTTCCCAAAACAACCTACTCGCGCGTATGACATTGTTACAAGCGCGCTCTCAAAAATCTGACCGCGAAAGATGATTCTTAAGTCGAATTACGCGGACAAAATGTAGCCAAACTTGCTCTAACGGCCACTTGGCAAAGACAATCACTTGTACAAAAGACCACTTCCAACCCCCCCCCCCCCCCCAATCCCCTTTGAATGTTTGTCTATATTAAAAGACTCTGCCCAAGACGTCCATCTGTCTCAAATGATCACTTTTCTCCTTGACAATGGGTGGTCGTCTTAGAAGATTTCGGCTGCTCTGCAATAGCAACAGCATTTACTCACAGAATTAGATATAGTTTTGTCTTTACTGTTTTCAGTTTTTTGGGGTGTTACCCTCAGTGCTCGAAATAAACTCGGAGGGTTTAATATACACGTATTTCAGTGCATGAGTGGGGTTTGTGAGATAAACATTTTGCCTAAAGCAACAACAACAAAAAACATTAGACAGAAAGAGAAAATATGTGGTTGCGCGAAACAGCCTTTATATTGTAGGTCGAAAGTTAAAAGGTCCCATCTATTTTAATGAAATAAAAAACAACGGCTATGCTATAACCCTCGTCATAAAAATGGCAATAAATAACGAAAGATCATGCAGGTTTGTCATTATTTGAGTGCTATTATTGTTATTGTTGTTTTTGTTTTTGTTGGTGTTGTTCTTGTTGTTGCTGCTGCTGTTGTTGTTGTTGTTGTTGCTTCTGTTGTTGTTGTTGTCAGTTTTAGAGCTGGGCAGGAAAAATTATGACGTCGATAGATATTTTCAGAAAGTCTCCATATTTTAGGACTCAGAGAGACTCAAATTATTCATTTTTAAGACAAATAGAACAGATCTCAGATGTATCAGCTCAACAGTAAAAGAGGAAAGTTGATGGACACTGTATGATCATCACATATATATATCATTTGGAACACATCTGGGTCGAATTTGATTTTAAAGGAGTATCAAAACAACGTCAAAGGCATCGAATTATATTAATTTGGACAGGAATTCCTAGGTGTAAAAATAACAATAAATTAAATTGAACATACTCATGAAGCCATAATGTGGTTTGTCAAATAAGAGAGGTACATGTACATGTATCTTTTTCTTTGCGATTGGTTGATAATTATCTTAAAACGTTTCATATTTTGCTCACAAACTCGTAGTCCATGCTCGTTCACGCCAATAAAGGACAATAATCTTCATGTGACCTACAAGCTGCAATTTAGGTACACCCGAGATAATATTGGTCTAACTAAGAATAGTTTAACAAAGGCACAAAAATGAATCTCTCTCTCTCTCTCTCTCTCTCTCTCTCTCTCTCTCTCTCTCTCTCTCTCTCTCTCTCTCTCTCTCTCTCTCTCTCTCTCTCTCTCTCTCTCTCTCTCTCTCTCTCAATCACTCACTGTCATCAGCAAGCCTTCACCGTAAGCTCGGTCATAAGTACAGCATTATGACCACGTAGTGTTTATTTGTGTCACGACGCGGTGGAATCGGGCGCTAGTCAGTTTGGGCGTATATGGATTTATTGGTATCCTCTAAAAGCTTGCTGATTTGAATTACTTTTTAGGAAAAATAATACTTATCTATCTTGAGTAGAAATTGAGATACTTGTGATTGAAGGAGGTAGGGGTCCCTTGGCGTCCCAGGTAAAATAACGTTTTTCAATAAAAATCCACCCAAAAAATGTTGAGCCAACAGAAAATTCAAATATATATTGCCCAAAGGGCCGGAAAATGCCTGTTTCTTTGATTACATTATTTTAATTAACGAGCGCCTGATTTCACTACGATGCCACACATTTGTAAGGCGTGACGTGATAGTCAAAATGCGGTCACTTCTAGTAAGACTTGATGGTGAACTTGTGTTCCGAGATGCTGTTCTGCGTTACTGGGGCTTTCTTTCTGTCGCCATCATGCGAGGACTCCTCCCCAGAGAGGGGTGACGTTTTGATGTCCACTTTCTGGTCACTCCAGCTCAGACAGACGCAGGAGCCTTTGGTGATGATCTGAGGGAACGCCGCAGAGGTCCCCAGGCCCAGGGAGTTGACAGTGTGTGTCATCATCACCTCCACACACGACTAGGTTGGGGAAGTGAAATGTTCAGAAATTAGTGTGGTTTCTATTTTGTTTGCTTGTTTGTTTGTTTGTTTGTTTTGTTTTGTTTTGTTTCTGTTGTTGATGTTTTGTTTGTATGTTTGTTTATTTGTTTGTTTTGTTTTTTTTTGTTTGATTGTTGGCTTGTTTGTTTGCTTTTTTGTATTTTCTTGTTGTATTTTTGGCGGGGGGGGGGGGGGGGGTAAACGTAACATGTTTTCAATACAATTCAAAATCTTCAAATCGGAAAATTCTTTTACATCATATGCAAAGGAATAGAGCTCATGAGTATGTAAATGCTCTAGGCTTAATTATTTACTATATAGGGAAGTTTGTGATGCTGAAAACTCAGGTGACAAAATTGTCTGCGTACAAAAAAGAATTAGCCTTCTGTGTACGAGGAATTAATGAGAATGGCAAGATGTTTCACTATGATAACCACTACTATTGTATCATCGGTGTAACATACAGTCCTAATTTGGGTGGTTGGCGGGTGCTCTGGTGTGGTTTGTTTCTTCTTTCCTACCAAACATCTATCATCCTTATCTCCTCTTCTTCTTTTTTATGTTTGTTACTCTCTTGTGACACCTCTAATCTCCTGGCGTTCATATGACCTTATGCAGTTGCTTTCGCCGTAAAAACTTCTACTAACTAACTACCACATACAGTCCTAAAGAGCCAGCACCTCTTCTATTAGGAGATCATCAGATCCGTAGATCTCCCAGAATAACCCGTAATGATCCGAAGGAAGAACTTTGAAAGAATGCCGTTGATTACTTCGCAGAGGTCAAAGCGCAATTGGGGGCTCTTGTGGCCTAGAGGTTAAGGTGTTGGCCTCTCATTCAAAGGTCCCGGATTCGAATCCGGGTAGCGACCGAAAAATGTTCTTCTCTAAAATGTTCTCCTTTCACCTCCTTTCCTGCTCTCTAGCAATGTTCTGTCGTCTGCTTTCGTCTCCTCTTTTTGCCCCCTCCCTCTCACCTCCTTTGCCCCCTCCTCTGGGCTCCTGACTCTTTCTGCAGCCTTTCTACTGCTAGTCCTTGACTCCTTCTTACAGCTGTCTTTCTGCCTCACCCCTGATCTTCTGGTAGGAAAGATCTACACCTAGCCTTCTCGGACAAGGGCGAAAAATCTCGGAGGGCCCGTGTGCAAGTTGCGCACGTTAAAGATCCCCTGTTGGTCGAAAATCGATAAGAGTATGCTTCGGCCGCCACCCGAGCAAAATTCAAAATTTCCTACCAACTAAAAGTATTAGGTGTGTCCTGCGCGCTCATATGACCTTAAGCAGTTGCGAGCGCCGTTAAACCCTCTACTATAAAAAAAAGCGCAATTTTGCTCTCAATAAGAATCAGGGAGACAACTCGTGGAACAAAAATATTCCAGTGACTTGTCTCCCTTGGATGGTAGACATTCCAATTGATCTGAACCTTTTTTGCAGAATAATTTATTTCTGTCAGACGAAGTTAAGAAATAAAGATTAAAAAGAAAGACAGAAAAACAAAAAAGGAAGGTAGTAAGAAAAGAGCAAAATCAAGAAAAGAAGGAAGGATGGGAGAAACAAAGAAACAAAGAAACAAACAAAGAAACAAACAAAAGAAACAATTTTTTTTTTAAGAAAGGCAGAAAAAGACAGGAAGGATAAACGAAAGAAAAAAATACAAAGAAAACATGAAATATCAAATAGAAGGAGGGGGAGGGAGGGAGGGAAGGCAGGGGGGGGGGGGA